AGCTCTCGCTAGACAGTTGGATTAAGGGCCCGATTCAAAAGGCGGTTATTTTAGAAACCGCACGAATAGTGAGGAGGTTCCTGTCTCTGCCCTGACCAATGGTTGCTTGAGTCATCGGATTCCGCAGCCGGTGGTGCTCTATTTTTTATATAATACAAGAACATAATATAAGAAAATACTTTCTCTCGATTTTCAATATCACTTCACTTTATCTTAACAACATTCACAAAATTGAAAAAAAATATTACTCAATTTCAGCGTATACAGTAAACTATATCTATCTCTTTCAGCTACGTGACTGGCGAGAGTTCCGTCCCGCTCGCACTGCTGGGCGGCGCGGGCTGCGGGAAGGCGACACTGCTAGCTCGTGCCGCCTCGCTCGCACACACCTGGCTGCCAGACCTCGCGCTCATAGTGCGGTAATATGCCCTTTTAACTTCGTAGTCGATAAAACAAAGACGTTTAAATAATATATAGACGTGGCATAGTGGACAAAATGTTTCACAAGTACTTTCTTTAAAAGGTAAAGTCCCACAGCGTGTCCTTGTATTGATCTGTAATAAAACATTTAAATAAATCATAATAAGCTCCATCTTATGTTATAAAATAAACTAAATAATGTCAAAAGAAAATATAAACTATTATATTGACAAGTGGTTATGGGGATAGATCAACAGATAGCGTAAGTGACAATAATCTCAAGTGTTTCAAGTGAATTATCAACTATGCCTATTCTATATATTTTGTAATATCTGTGGAATAAAATCAAAAGTTTGATTTTTAAAATTTCTGTGTAATCCATAGGTTTGTTGGTCTGACGTCACAGTCCAGCAGTTCCCACCAGCTACTGAAGTCCATCGTGGACCAGTGCCACGTGCTGCACACCGGCACCGTCTATAGAGGGAGAAATGTAAGTACGACAACACACTGCGTAACAGGTCGATATCGGCCTGCCGCAGTACTTAAGCTGGTACGGACGAAAAAAACTATGTCCCTCTCGCTAGTGCGAAACGATTATCTCAGGTATACAGTAAATAAAATATATCTATTATGTTTTCACAAAGTTATAGTAACTTAATCTTTTCTTTTTTTATATTATAAGTTGGCAAACGAGCAAGCGACCACCCGAATCGACCGCTACCCATAGATATTTGCGGTAGCGGATGCGTTCCCTACCCTTAATCGACGGAGGAGGAGATACACATGAAGAGGATATTTTCTCTTTCTATGCGTCCCCTCCACCGTCAAATCCATATTCCCTTTCCATCCTATTTTTATAAGAAAAAGGGTGGGATGGAAAAGGGATTAATGTAGGTTCTTCAGTACTACACTCTTCAGACTGTACGCCGAATTTCTCCCACTTCACACCTGTTTTCTGTGTGATATTGCTGGAGGCAAGTCAGCCCATTCGTACAAAAAATGTTAAAGCAGGCTTTACCACTGTTAAAATGTACCCTAGTGCTGGTGGGTCTAGAAAGACCTGCCTGACTCGCTGAAATATCTTTGGGGGCGCATTTCGGCCCGCCGCCGTATTATATGAATTATGATTTTACTTGGCGCAGTGACGTTAAATGTATTATGTTTTCAGGAGGCGGGCGCGCTGTGCTGTGCGCTGGCGCGGCTGCTGTGCGCGCTGGGGCGCTCGCGGCCGGTGCTGCTGTGCGTGGCGGCGGCGGACGCGCTGCGCGGCGCGCGCTGGCTGCCCTCCAAACTGCCTGATAACGTCAAAATGCTGGTCACCGTATCAGAAGGTATCTAACTAATGTTATAAACAAGCTGTTCCCGCGATTCGGATTTTCCTATACCGATATCCGGTCAGCCGTTTTCATACAAACACTAACAAACATCCATCAACTTAAGGTTTCGCATTTATAATATTACTAGTTTTCGCCCACGACTCCGTCCGCGTGGTGTTAAAAAAAACAAAAATAAGTAGCATATGTGTTCTTCCAGACTATCCTCTACATCTATGTAAATTTCATTGGGATCCATTCAGCAGTTTAGGCTACAAACTCTAACAAACATCCATCTAAACTTTCGCATTTATAATATTAATTAGATTAAAATGTGACAGTTTAGAAACAACATATTACATAGAACAACTATTGAATATGTTAGAGTTTATAGTTTTTAGAGCACGCGCACTTTTGACTTAACTATCATATAACTGTTTAGTGTCGCTTTGATTCCTATAAGCTATGAAGGTTCGCACACTACTGGATTTTTAGTTGTGCAACTAAACAGTTGACGCTACGAAACAATAGACAATCGCACAACAGTTGTGCGATAGTTTAGTTCCGGCTCTTACACAACATAATAGTCTTGGTTAAAATTTTAAATAACCTTTGAAAGATATAATTGTTTTTGTTCTGTTAAACAGAAACAGACGAACCATCTTCATCAGCGATAATGGCGGTACTCTCATCAGAGGATGGACCGAAGGTGGTCCGTGCTCCAGGAGTGTGTCTGGAGGAGGCGCAGGCGACGCTGGCC